CTCACCTGAGCGCTCTTTTCATTCTGGCCTGCAAGAAGTTCGCGAACCTCACTCAACTCCATTCCTCGAGGTCCTCTGCCAGCGTGACTCTGCGAGTCTTCTCCTGTGTCTGCTTCAGGTCCCCCATCGGGTTCCTCAGGGCCGTAGGCCGATGAGAACTCGGAGCGCTGACTGGGAGATCTCTTCTCTCTGCCAGTGGTTGGCCTGGACGAACTTCTTCTCTCCGAGGTGTGGGGCTCCTCTTTCGGCTTCTCTTTTTCCACCGCTGATTGGGGGCCAAATGGCCCGGCGTCAGGGAGGACTTTTGGGCGGCTAGCCCTCCCCCGCCTGCCTCCTATTTGGAAACTCCTCCTGACCGAGCGGGAGCGGCTTGAAGCTTCTGAGCCCGCAACTCGGCCTTTGCTGCCTCGGTCTGCTCCTCGGGCGTTGACAGGCTGGCTCTGTTCGGGATGATCTCCTGGTGGCGCGCCACTGCCCATCCACCCTCGACACTGAAGCTCACCTCCACGGCTTTGAACCGCTGAACCAACAAATCCCCTAGGCGGCCCAGGCTCCCCTCCAAAAGGAGGTCCAGCCCGGTTGCCAGGGTAGTCAACTCCCGGTGGGATCTCAGGCCCATCTTCTGAGCCGGAGTATGATTCAGAACAACTTGATTCAGGACTTTCCCTTCCGCGGGATCTGATCCGGACGCCTCCCCCCAGGCGGAGAGATACTTTCTCATCTCTCGCAAGGCGGATTTCAGCAGGCAACCTGGCTTCTGCCGAGACAGTTTTCCCAGGTCTACCCCCCGAGAGGAGGCTTTCCGAAAAAGCTGCTTTGAATCACTTGAATCAGAATCGTCACGCAGCCTCTTATCCCGAGGGCGCACCTCAGAATCAGAAGAAGATCTCCCACGATCTCGGTTCTTTCGCTTCTTCTTCTTCTTGTGAACATCGGCTGCGTTCGCTCTCTCTGCAGCCTTCTGAGCAAGGAAGACATTCACTGAAGCCTTCTGCTGCGCCGGTGGCAGCACCGACGGCTTTGGGCCCGTTGCCGGGCGCCCAGGAGTTTCATCCCGAAGGCGCCTCGCCTCACCTGCCATCAAGGCATCCAGTTCGTCCGAGAAGGGCTCACCATCCAAGGAGGCCAGCCTTGTCCAAGCCAACGCTGCCTGCTGCCTCAGCCCTTGGCGCCGGAGGAGCAGGGAGGCCCCCCGCCGAAGCAGGGCCGCCAACCCTGGTCCTGGCGTCCATATCCGCCTCCAGGGCCCCTTTCAGCAACGCCAGCACTGCCGAAGAACCGTACCCTCCAGCAATGACCTGCGAGAAAGGCGCAGGCCGCCATCGATCCACATGGATGACCGTATCAGCATTTCCCCGAGGAGCCCTCCACCGGCATGACCTGCATCCTCCCACACAAAGGTGGTACAAAGGCTCACCCATCTCGTGAGTGGCATACCATTCGTAGTATTCGTCAGAGGCAGCCAAGTGCTTTCCCTTGAAGACCAGGTCATCTCGAGAAAACCACTCCTCCAGGAGGATCAGTGCCTGCCCTTGGGGGCTGAAAAAGTCATCATGAACCTCCACCTCAATGACTTGGCCAGCACGGAAGATCGCCAATGCGTCACCGCGATTTCCTGGCCCACGCCAGCCGAGCTGGCGAGCGCTGTAGCCGCCCTGGAGGGCTCTCAAGAATCCCTCGGGAGGACCACCCATTCGTAGGTAGCCATCCTCGAGGTCAACCACCCCTGGATCCATGGCCGGAAGACCCCCCGAGGGGGCACCTAATAGCCACAAAAGGCTCACTAGAAAGGGGGGGGAACCCCCGCAAGGGTCTGCCCCCCCTCGGTCCACCAAAGACTGCGCCGGTCGCACACATCTGTGCATGCGTCTGGGGCCCCATTCAACATATATATATATATATATATATGTACATGTGCGTGCCCACAAACGCTTCTATCTAATCCATATTATGAACAAAAACATGACATCCCTTCTTGAACCTTGTCTGGAGCCCTAAACGCAGGAAAACTCTCAACGCACGGCGGGACTTGCTTCTTGAACGGGCTTCAGGGATTCCAGCTTCCATGGCATGTTCAGCATGTGGAAACCACGACATGTTGCAACATGGGTTGTCCCGATGACAGCCATGGTGTCTTAGCCAACCTGGATTTGGGGTGCGCATTCAGAGAGTCAGAACCGACGTTGCTGGCAGGTTGCCTGAAATATCAGCCAAGCTCCAAACAATCAGCTCAACTTGGCGAGCGGCTTTCAGAGGATCGGTGTTGTTGGCCGGGCAGGTGGCGACAGCAGAGCTCCCCCGGTAGGGATGCTTGCACCGAATCTCGCAGCTGGCGCCGGCGTCGATTTGGGTGCAGCTGGGGAAGTCATACATGCAAGGCTCCTTCACGAGTTGAGTGCCGGCAAAACCACCCACCCACTGGAATTCTGGCTTGGCCCCCTGGGCGAATTCTACGCGAGGGTTCTTTTACCCAAGCAACCATGGAAGCATTCAAAGGCAGAGCCATCAAAAACTGTGCACCCCGTCGTGCTGAGAGCTGGCGTGCCCGTTCCCTGTGAGGCCTCGAAGGCAAAACACGGGCCCACCCACAGAGAGTCCGGCGCTTTGCGCCTCGCCTTTCCGGCCTGCGAGAGGCATGTAAAATTCAGACATGCCACAAGTTCAATTGGAAACCTCAAATCCCTTTCCAAAGATCCATGGGTGAGTTCGCTAAGCGCCATCTTTGGAAGCTCCGTATATTTGCAGAAGTGTGGCAGGGATCCTTACATTATACACCTGAACATTGCAACTTGTCAATGGTGGTTTCCCCTTTATTCTGGTGTTGGAAAAGCAACGTGTTTCAAATGGCCGCAAAATGGGGATATTGTAAGGAGCCCTGTGTGGTCGAGGATTTGATCTCGTCGAGGTCCTATGGGCAGTCAACACATCAGCCTCACCCCCGGGTCCAACCCCATTTTTCCAACGGCGAAACGGCCGACCTCGGTCCGTGCACTGGGCCGATCCTCAATAAAATAAAATGGGGGGGTCGAACCTCACCATGAAAAAATGAAATGACAGTTTTGTGGAAAAAAAGGGGACATCAACTTCTAATTCGGTCTCAGCTCCAGATTATTCTGAGATGGCAAGCCCAAGACTGGATGGATTGTAGTGGCCTGGACTCTCAAACAGCAAAGAATTATTTGTAGTTCGGCGGGTTTTGTTCATGCACGACAAAAGCGCTTCTATGCCATTTGAGGGACAAGACAAAGGGAAACCGGATAGTCTGTTTCAACCAGCTGGCAACTAAATAGCTGCTCTTTCAGACAATGGGGTCTTCCAACTCGGTCTATTTTAGAAAATGGGGTCAACCAATCCAGACTGAGAAACTTCTAATTTTAGAAAATGGGGGGGCCAACCTAGGACCCTTCCTGATCAGACCCATTTTCTTTTTATTCACAATTTAGAAAATGGGGGGTGCCAACCCCACCATGGGAGGTGACATCAAAAACAAGCCCAAAATGGGCTCAACCCCCCCCCCCCATTCTGCAAATTCATGTCGAACCTGTCTCACCTACCTAACCTGAGTTGATTGGCCCAACCAGTTTTGCGAAGTTAGAATGGGAAGGGTACTAAGGGTATGGCAAGAATTCGCTCGGTCGTTGATGGCTATCAGACTTGACTGAGATTGACGCACCGCGAATTGTGCCCATACTTTTTGTGAGCCTTGACAGAACTGATGAAAACACCTTCCAACAAACAGTCCGCCGGATTGATTGCTCGTCAAAATTACAGTTGGTTGAAGGCAGATGGCACACCTCCTGCAGTTTGGCTTCATTCCCTTGACTTGCCCACAGCGAGATGCGCCATTTACTTCCACCCCCGCTTTACTATAGAACGGTCCAAGTTTTTCAGGATGAGATTGTGGGGGGACTTTAAGATACAAATAAGAAAACCTGTACTCGGTTGCTTTCTGCTCCCCTGCTAAAAGTTTAACTTTTAGTGGTGTAATGGAAAACCCATTAGTTGGCAACAAGTTTAAGTCCTAACATCCAAGCAAAATGCACCAAAGTGTATTGGCTGTTGCCTTTTATCAATGGTCGCACTTTGGAGGGACAGCACTTCCCTTGTGAGGTGCCAGCTTTCGATCTGACTCTCCTGAGTCGCCGGAGGCGCACAGGGCTGCCGCGACAAGCATCCACCCAGCTGGAGGTCGGAAACACAACCTGAAAAAGGCGCAACATGTGTCATGAGTCATGTGGCTGCGGGTCAAAACCAATGGGATCCCATTTTGGGGTAGGTGCACCACCCATTTTAGAACCTAGTTTAGTGGGGATTGGGATGTTCACTGCACGCGGATTTTGACCCATGGCCATGTGAATTGTGAAGTGCTGTAGACGGACGAGATCCTGCACCAAATGGTACATCCCAACTGGTGCAGGATTTTGTCCATCAGCATGAGCGAACCTGGGAAGTGTCTGTTGCGATACCGTTTTGGAAGGTGCTTTTCAAGGGGAACCAGCAGGCTTGTGGCCACTTTGGGTTCCTTTTGAGGTGGCCGTGCAACGACCAAACACCGAATACGTGACCTCCAATTTGGTGCAGCCATCTCTCAGACATGCCCCGGACGGTCCTTGTCAGCAACCCCCTCCGCTGGCATTGGTAGTTTGGGGTCATCTCAGAGCTACGTCAGCTCTGGCCCCAAAACCAAAATCTATATGTTGGACCTGGGCCAAACTCTCTGTTCAGACATGTTTAAGCAGTTGTTTTACAAACCTCTTTTTAGCTTCTCTGAGAATGAACGCAAGGGTCTGGTTGGTTGAAAGAGCTTTTGCCCAAACCGCACTCCTGGTTTAAAAAAAAAGCACCTTGATGGAGTTGATCACTTTTAGTGCTGAACCCACCAAGCAGAAAGATACTCGGAGGGTGGACTCCACTAAACCGGGCCAACCCTGGTGAATCGGGTATGCGTCCAACTAGAGGGAACCCAGACTTGTGGTTTTCCTTTGGTTTCCCGCATCAACTCATACGAACTCATAAATTTGGTGCCCTGAAAAGAACACATTCGCCAAGACGCTTCCGTCCAGCTCGGAGATGGTGCACGTGGCCTGGGCGCTGCCGTCATAGCCCAACGCACAGCGCCAGCCCAGGTCCGTGCGCTCGTAGCCCGCAGGAGGGCTCTCAGGGCAGGTGGCCACGCCTGAGCTGAGATCACCTCCGGGCCTTGATGGAAGCTTCCTTTTCTTGGGTTTTTTGGGGGGAAAATGGCCTCATCCATGTTGGTTGACCAGCAATCGTCCGAATTCCAGCTCATTCATAGAGCTTCTCCAAATGCTTTGCGTGTTTTCCAACGAATGCAACGCTTCCGGCAAAATCGGGGTTCCTGCCTTGTCGAAATCGCGGCCAAGCAGCACAGAGAATAGGCAGAGCAGCAAACACGAGAGCACGTAAAGAGCAAAAAAGCAGGAGCCTGCGCAAATTGCAGGAGGGAACACGCGCAGCCAACTTGCACAAAAGAACGCACGCAGCAAGTTGTAGGAGAGATCGAGCAGCCCATTGCACGAGCGAACTTGCACTCTTGCAAGAAGTGCGGACCCGAAGATCAAGTTCATCTTTTAAGGCGGTGCGGTGGGACGAAATCCACCCTGCAAAAATGACATCCTTTGCGGGGATCAGCGTGGTCGATGTGCAACAACTTTGAACCTTTGCTACCTTTGGTGTGCAAACTCGACCCTTTGCGGGGATCGAACACACATGCCTTGACGGGAAAAGACAAGAGCACATTTGACGTCACATGCCGCGCTCACTCTATGTTGTGCCTTCGGCCCACCCGTTCTTCCAGCTTGTTTGGGAAACCAAAAGGAAGCCAGCCATGTTACGGAAGCCCTATTCTGAGAAACACCCATATTCCCAGCTCAGTCATTAAATATCTGACCGTTGCCTCCAAACTGGAGGTCTTACATCCAGGGCATTTGTTTGGCCCCCGCCAACAGTCTCTTGTGTACCTGGACAGTAGCCAACAACTGTGCGTTCGGACAGTCATGGTTTACATGGTCAAATTGTATCCGTGGAGCACTGCTCACATTGATGTGTTTGAGTCAAAGAACATGAGACGCGCTCCCACACTGCTGGCTGGCTTTGAGCTTTCAAGTAAACCAGCCAAGTCAGTAGAGGTCAGTCAATCCAGCCGAATGTCGGCTCTCAGTCCTGTCTGAAGGGCTTCTAACTTTGCAACAGACACGAAATGGGAAGAAGATGTCAAAAGCAAACTGCAAGTTGCATCTCCAGTGTCTCCATAGCTGGTTTGGCCCGTTGTCCCGCCCTCGCCCCCAAACCCTCCTTTGCTCGTTGCTGCCCCTCCTTTGCCCATTCCATCACCTTCCTAGCTCGACAGCTGCCTGCTGGAGCCTACCATGCTCCCTCCTAAAAGGGATGTTTCCTTCTGGTTTCGCTTCACACACCTTTGAAGGGGGCACCAACTCTAGCACATCCCTACATTTGTCCAACACAGTCCTGGCTTCCAGGAGCCGGACTAACACTGAAGGTCAAATTCCAAGCAAATTGATCGGTGCAAAAGTTGCAGAGTTGTCAGATTTCACCAGGAAGAACCGATGTTTCCCTTCAAGCAGCTAGCTTGCAACTAAGCGAAATAAAACCACAAAACATGAATTCATGACTATGCCTACGCCAACACAACATGGCGGTGAAGAACCTTCACCTGCAAATAGCGGAGCAAGAAACCTCACTGCTCGAAACAATTGGGGCCATTACTCACGCGGGAAAGCAACAAAACATCTCACACACGCACAACACAGTTGATGGAACACCTGCAGCTGCGCTGTGGAACAACGCATGTATGAAACACACACTGCGCTGGAGAGACAAAAACATGTCTAGGAAACCGTTCAATCATGTACAGGCTACAGGACCAGTAGGATTGGAGTATGAGGGCCCACAATTTTGCAAGTAGCTTCACTGCGTTTGGCATTCCGATTTGGCCGTGAGTCAAAACCCGGCACCCACAGTGAACATCCCAATCCCCACTAAAATAGAGTAAATGGGTGGTGTTCCTACCCCAAAATGGGATCCCATTGGTTTTGACAACCACAGCCATTTGTCTCTTCGAGTCTGGCCGATTCAAGGCGAGGAGCAGTTGGGCCAGGCCACAACCTGCGAAGCAACAGCTTCCAATGAATATCAAGCGTATGTGAAACACATTCTGAATACATGTCAAACAAATTTGAGTCAATTGCGTAGAACTTCAAGCAATATGAAGATGCTGCAACCACTATGGTTTCATCAATCTGTTTTGCTTGGACCATGCTTCAACCCCCCGCCTGCAGCTCTTGCTCGGGATCCACGTTGCCCGCGGGGCAGAACGCCACGCCCGCCTGGCCGAGTGTTGATCCGCCTGGTCTTCGTTTTTGCTTTGCATTCCGAAATGGGCATGTGGCAAAATAGGACCCCAAAAGTGGGAATTTCCATTTTGCGCCAAGGTGAAGCCCTGATTGGGTGCTCGGGGGCCTGAAAACAAAAGCAACCATTTTGGTGTCCCTTTAAATCGGAAAATGGCTACCTGCACACATGACTGTCCCTTGGCGCAAGCGATCGGAGCCCGTTCCGCCGAACCCGTGTAGGGTGCCGTGACTGGCTTCCACACCATTCCCAGGCTAGCTTGACATGGGCCGACAGATGCCATGAACTCCGACCCAAAGATTGCGCCATCATTGTGTAGGAGACAAGAGAGGCGCGCAGGCAAGACGACGGGTCCACGAACACAGCACAAACAACCCGTGAGCACCAAAGGTCAAGGCTAGCAGTCAGCCAGCCGCCAGTGAGCACCACTCGCCCAGGTTTGTCTTCCAGTGTGGTGGTCCTCGAAGCCTACCTTGAGGGCGCCAAGCAGCCACGGTGCTGCGCTGATTCGTTGTGAGGCCTCTTTACCTGCGCTTGTTGTTCAATTCAAGGGCCCCTGCGCAATTTGGACACCCTCTTCTTTGCCAGTTTATCTGGTCCACACTGGCCGATGTATCTAAACCCGCCATTGCCGACACACGATCACATCCGGTGCCGTACAACGTGGTGACCTCTGGTCTCCCGCACAAAGAGCAAAGCACCAAGAGTCCATAGTGGCTGAAGACCGCATCGTTTGCGAATGCCGCAAGCAATCCACGGTCAAGCTGACAAGATATCCTGATTTTCGCGACAAAATCAAGGTTTAACTCCAAAACATGTTCCTCTGTGTTAGCCAACCAAAGGTGCCCATTATCTTGGAAATCGATAGGACGTCCTAAGGCACTTGATCGACAAGGTCTGGCTCGTTCCACCCACCACCGAAAAGCGCCTCACATTCAATATTCCAGAAAACCTTGAATGTGCTTAACGAATAGCGATTGCTATCCACCAGCAAAAACCGTGTGCTCTTGGATGCTCAGAAAGGAAGTATATATATATATATACTACAAGAACGTTCACATCTACATGCATACGAATGGAGTGGGTACCCCCGACTTGCTAAACTGGGAAGCTCTGCAAGGTGGGACTGGGATAAGCTCCCAGACTCCCATGCTTCCAATTTTCCGATTTGACATTCACTTGGGCCTAGGGTTCGCCAGCTATGCTTGCGACCGAGCCTGGCTTACGGTGCATTCATGGTGAACCAAGCGCATCCGACCACAAAAGCGTAATTGCAGTTAACTGCAAGGTCCTTCACTTGTTCCCCTGGAAATGTCTAGGGTTGCAAAAAGGGAAAGCTGACCAAAACCAATCCGTGGAGTTTGGTCCTGCTTTAGAGTTTCAGGGCAGCCCTGGTGTGGATCTCCCCTTGGTTTCGCTGTAAACCAACCTCAAACGGCTACCCTCAAACACACGCACTCGCACACGCACACACACGTACGCAGACCCAAACAATTGGCGCATCCACACATCGAGTGCTTGGCCGGCCTGGCCCTGGTAAGGAGCCAAACATTTTACTTCGCAGTTGGCGCCGTCCAGTGCCGCCAGGCAGTCTGTGAAGTCCTGGAGCCGAGGAGTCGAGACACTCTTTGCATGGCAAATGGACAACTGCTGCTTTCGGTTGTTTTCCGATGTTGACACAGATTTATGCGCCCAAGGCCAATGCTGGTTTCAACATGTACTCTTCAAAGGAACATGGTTTTTCAGGAACCCCTGTCAGGAACCTATATTATAATATTGGATGCTACAATCGGTTTACACATACCCAGTGTGCAGTTGATATATAGCCAAACAGGGGGGTGGTTTGGTTTTTTAAGCTTTGTTGGGGCACACCATCAATTGCACGAATTTGTGGGGGGGAATCCTGAAAAGAGCCCAATAACTTCAGCCACTTTGCAAACCAATCGTATCCAGTGGCAAACATGAAATTCAAAGCAACAGCTTTGAGATGATAGCCGCAAGTGGAGTGTGTGTCAGTTGTACTTGTTCTGAACCCCTTCGTAGAAGGCACCACGAAGTGAAACCAGGACCCCAACACCCCTCATGTTTGACAATACGTCTTCTGAGTATCAATCACCGGCGCACTGTGGCGAAACAAGTCAAGTCATTTTGCAACCCTTGGCTCGCCCAATGCGATTGGCACTACCAAATACGACCCAGTGAGAGTTCCAGGTGCCTCTTGAATGAGGGGGTTGCTATGACTAGGTTAGCTTTGCGTTTTGTTTGACGACCAGAGTATAGCCCCGTTGTACCGCACCGGAACATCAGGCCCGAGTGGCGTAGCGGCACCTGTCGCGCATCGGCAGGCGACAGGGCTGCAGTTGCAAGCAGCCTGCCGCGTCGAACGATTCCAGTTTCGCAGGCTCAGAAAAAAGGGACCCTATATTTCAAGCCCTTGATGTTCCAAACTGCGCCGACCTGCGCATTCGACCCTGAGTGCAGGGGCTTAGTTTAAGCAGAGTGCACGAAGTATTCCCAGACCGCGTTGAGGCGATCTACAGAAGACATGAGCCTTCGATCGCTTTGGAACGCTAAGTCTACATCCAATGAACGCCATGCCGCGCAAATAACTTAATTTGAGCGAGGAGGGCTGTGCGCAGGGGAATTCGTGTGAGTTGATCGCAAAAGATGGCGACAACGAATTCAAGAGCATCAAATGCAAGGCGCTAGCGCCTGACATTGTCAATTCTCAGTGCCCGATTGGCAAGGGATTGCTGAAGCACATTTGCCGACTTCAGTTTTGGCGTGGACGGAAGCTTTGCTTTCTCATTCTACCGCAGGGGGAGTGGGGGGCTGGCCAATCGGTCATTGGGTGACGTTCCAGTTTTCAACTATAGGTCTTTTTGTCTCGAGAGGGGCCGTTTGACACATGCGCCGTTTTCACCACACTCGGCATCACTTTGCGCTTCGCCGGGCTTCGGGTTTCTGGAGTCGGTTTCGGCAGTCGGTGTAGTGCTTGGCGGGCTTGGGGTTGGCTTAGGGCTGGCTCCGCCGTTCAGAGGGAAGGATAGGTTGCCCTTCTTTTGGCGGGTTTAGGAATAGGTTTGGCGTGGGCTGGGATGAGTTTCGTGGGTTTGGGGTTTGTGATTGGGATTTGTTCGGGGTTTGCTTAGAGTGGGCTTAGGGCCGTGGAGATGCGCGGTGTTTCAGCGGCAGGCGCAGTACTTTGTGAGTGCTGATGCAGCTTTGCGTGTCGAAACAAACACACGAACGCACGAACAAGCGAACGCACAGACACACAAACAAAGATGCACAAACACACAAAACAAACAAACACACAAACACACGTTGGAAGTGATGTAGGCCAGCAAGGCTGTTGCCAAAGGCAAGACGACCAGTCTGCTGTAGAAGTCCGTGGAATGCCCCGGAGGCTCTGAAGTATCCGCCACTGCCTGCACCAACCCAAGAGTCACAACAATAGAATTCTCCGCACCAAGCTAGCGTCCTTTCCCCAAATGCACCGGGCAGTGAACATGCATCGTGCATTTGTGGCTGGTCTCTAAACGCTTTCATGGACACGTGTCTTTCCTGCCTGAAAGGGATATCTCGCTTTCGCAGTTCGTATCTGTACCGCAGGAGCGCACAGCAGCACCGTAAAAGCCTGAGACCGCAATTCCGGATTCCGAGGGCCGTGGACAGAATGCCAAAAAAGTCATGGCCGCATCAAGCTGCTGCTTTCTTGCCGGATCGCCACAACAGTCCACACGCAAACAGTGATCTGACCGGATGCCCGCAGCATTTGATTGAGTTAGGTGCAGTCTTCCCGGTGGTTTCCCGAAATCCGGCCTTGCTGAGTTGGAGTCCATGCGATTTACGGCTATCCGAGCAGTCAGCACACTGTGTCCTTCAGGAGAAAGCTCTGGCGTTCAAACATCTTGGAACCCCCAAATCACCAAAGCCATCAGACAGGGAGCCCTCCATGGACAGCATATTAATATGGCCCCGTGTCGTTCTTCCTTGCAATTCAGCGGGTCTCAATACTGTCTCAGGCCTGTGCATCATTCGTTGCATGAGGGGTGCAGCGTCGGCCGCTTTAAGTTCTTCCATCATCCCAAAGCCAGTTGCATACTTTCACAGCTACCCGTCTGCACATGCTACTTGCCAACATTTTAAAAAACGATCACCAAGTGAAGGACCTTCTTCATGGGTGAGCTCGTCGCAGGTAAGCTCAATATAATTCGCAAGGACCCGGACCTCTCGCTTTGCCGAGCCGCCAGCGGCACACTCCCAACCATTCAGGCCGAACTGATAGCCTGCAAGGCTATGAGTCGTCAAAGCCTTCTGTCGTGGGCTACATTGCTACATATGAGGTCTACCCAAATGTGCAGGGTGAAACTAGATGGCACCTCCCGCATATTTAGGAATCCCCACTCTACTTACCCCGTGAAAGAAACAGTGCCATCTAGATTAGCCCGTGTTAAGGACTACTGCAGCCGCGCCAATTTCTGGTTGAGACTCGCCCCTACCCCTCCTATTTCGCAGTGTTTGATTGCTCATCTTGCTGGTCATTCGTAGGAAATCACGCATAGAGCAATCCCGTACCACAAGGGATCTTCCTTGGGTTGGCATGTCACCTGTCGGCAAGTCATGTGCAGGCAAGCTTGACGTTAACAGCTCCTGTTTTACCAACATTTGCTGCCACGCCTGCTGCAGGTTCTGTCCTGTAGGTGGTGTTAAAAGCTGACGCTTGCATCACAACTCACACATGATGTCAAATTGACATGAGGTGTACGACAACAGTAGGCTCAATCTCATGTTGGCGTTTGACAATTCCCTGAAGGCATCCCCAGTTGAGTACGGCCATGCCAGGAACGATGAGAAAGTAAGACAAGGCTTCGTCGAGGTCCAGTCGGAAAAAAAACTAGACCACGGTTGGCCCGAAAGCAGAACATCGCAAGCGAGGTCGGCCCAACGCTGCAGGATGCGTTCTGATTCCCTACACGAAGCATTCGTGAAGCAAGCGCGAGACAGCTCCAGGCAAGGTGCTCTGCGCAAACTGGTCGGTGCAAGTTGGTCTGCCAAGTTGCTCTACGCAAGTTGCACTGTGCAAGTTGCTCTGCGCAAGTTGCTCCGCGCAAGTTGCTCCGGCAAGTTGGTCCCTGCAAGTGGCTCCCTGCAAGTTGCTCTGTGCAAATTGCGCTCCCTGCAAGTTGCTCTGTGCAAGCTGCTGCTGCGTAAGTTGCTGTGCAAGTTTGCTCTAAAAGGCGCTCTGCAAAACTGGTCGGTGCAAGTTGGTCTGCGCAAGTTGCTTTAAAAGGCAAGTTGCATCTTGCGACGCCCGCCCGCGGACCAGGGAGGAATCGAACCCGCGACCCGCCGGCCCGGGAGCAGGCGCGCGAACCACGAGACAACTCCCGAGAAGTCGCAAAAAACCTCGAGTTTTTGCACCTCGACCACGCCGATCTTCGCAGAGGGTTCTCTCTCGAACGCAGCACGTGCAACGTGCCTAGCGGTGGATTGCGTAGCACAACCTCTTAGGGTCGCGGTCACTCGGAGTGACGATGTACTAAGTACATCCTCGCCAACTGCAGAACAATGATGCTGACCCGTGCCGAGGCACCTCAAAAGCGGTCAACATGAGGGAAATAAAAGCATGGCCTTGGTGACCTGGCAATTTCCTACCGACACAGGTAGCCATTCATACCACGCGATCGTGCTACTAGATGGGACATGTGTTCATCCATCACAGTGAGCGAAGAGCACTGGTACAAAAAAGTCCAAACATACTGAAAGTGCAGGGGGCAGCATGCCAGTGCTTGTAGCCATGGGCCTCAAATTGCCAATGGGAGGGTTATGTTGCCAAGACCAGTCATCATGCTAAACTAAAGATGAAAAGCGGCAGATGGCTGCGTGTAAGCACACAAATGCAGAAAGTTGCAAATTATTGCGCTCACGCGAATGCTGGCTATCACAAGCTGCTCATCTGAACTGGCAACTGGCAACTTCGCAGAGGGTTGCGCGGGCACCACAGAAATCGCAAAAAACCTCGAGTTTTGGGTCGCGCGGGCACCGCAGAAATCGCAAAAAAAACCATGGGTTTCCCCGCAGAGGGTCGCGCGGGAACTTTAGAAATCGCAAAAAACCATGGGTTTTTGCACCTCGACCACGCCGATCCCCGCAGAGGGTCGCGCGGGAACTTTAGAAATCGCAAGAAACCATGGGTTTTTGCACCTCGACCACGCCGATCCCCGCAGAGGGTCGATTTTCGTGTAGTGTCGTCGGCACTACCCCGCCGCCCTGAGAAGAGATTTTAACTCCTCGCAAGTCAATTGCACTTGACTCCTTGCACTTGCAACTTGCACTCGACTCCTTACACTTGCAACTTGCACTTGACTCCATGCACTTGCACTTGCACCTGACTCCTTGCACTTGCAACTTGCACTTGACTCCTTCTTGCAACTTGCACTTGACTCCATGCTGACTGACTCCTTGCAATGACTCCTTGCAATGACTCCTTGCAATGACTCCTTGCAATGACTCCTTGCAATGACTCCTTGCAATGACTCCTTGCAATGACTCCTTGCAATGACTCCTTGCAATGACTCCTTGCAATGACTCCTTGCAATGACTCCTTGCAATGACTCCTTGCAATGACTCCTTGCAATGACTCCTTGCAATGACTCCTTGCAATGACTCCTTGCAATGACTCCTTGCAATGACTCCTTGCAATGACTCCTTGCAATGACTCCTTGCAATGACTCCTTGCAATGACTCCTTGCAGTGACTCCTTGCAATGACTCCTTGCAATGACGCCTTGCAATGACTCCTTGCAATGACTCCTTGCAATGACTCCTTGCAATGACTCCTTGCAATGACTCCTTGCAATGACTCCTTGCAATGACCTGCATGATGATGACTGATGATTCCTTGCAATGACACCTTGTAATGACTCTCATGAGAACAACTCAAGTGAACCCAGCGGAAGAACCCTTCGCCACGCTTTCGGGAAAAAAACCAAAAAACGCAAACACCCGCGCCTGGAGGTACGGGGTCGTAGCACTCCGGAATGCTGCAAGCTGGCGGCTCCCATTCCAAGCCTCAGCTCTGGATCCTCATTTTTGCTTCTCCAAACGAGTTGGACCCTCAAGCCATCCCTCCGGGCGCCGCCTGGGGTCGAAGAATGAGATCCAAATGTTATGCCCTTTCTCCAAAGAGCCCTATTCCAGGATAGATTTTCCTGTTGATTAAGTTTAGAGGGGACCCTCTACTTTTTGGGAGGGGTGCTATTTCCTGAAAGTCAACCCAAAACGATGAACAAGTGATTGCACCTTGTGCGCTCGCTCGCGCGTGTGTGTGTGTGTGGTGTGCATCTGTCCCAACCCATTAAAACTTAATGTAATCAAACGGATTCACCGCTTTGCGCGCAATGGCTGGCAGCTATCGTGTCATGCAGTGTGTTTGAATGAATACGTTGTAAATGTTCCGAGAAGCAATGTTCTTAAACTGCGTGCTTTTTGAGATTCCCTGCATTTGGCTTGTCTGCCGTGCCAGACTTTGAAAGCCATTCAATATCGAGAAGGCCACAAATCCACTCCATTCGCATCCCACACTTCTTCATGCCCAGTTGACCCATCACAACCCCTTGTGCTAAACAAATGGCCTGGAAAACTAACAACACACAACTCTATGTTTCTTGGATCAACCAATATGTACTACTTTGCACCCAGTAAACAGGTCTTGTCTTTGGCGCGCATCTTGAGATGTCGATCTCCGAGCTGCTCTCCCAATCCGCAGTAATCCCAATCCGCAAGCGTCGACTGGGTGTCAGGATTCCCCCTCCCAGGGTGCCATGAACGTGTTTGGGTGAGGTGGCAACAATCCAAGCCAATTGGGTGGTCACCTCTTCTCCCCGGACTTGTGCCATCTACCATGAAGGTTGGAGTAGTAAGTCTAGAGTCTAGTCACTTTGTCCAGGATATTGCCTTTGCCGGACAAGACTGGTGTTAAGTAGGGCGTCTTGACAAAGCAACGCTCTCATCCCCGCTTGGTTTCTTTGGGACAGCCGCAAAACCTGGGCTTCTTAGCACCTAGAAGATTGCTTGGAACGCGAGGAAGGCACTGCTCTTGGGGTGAATGCTGCTGGATCGGCAAGCATTCCGGTACCAAAAGTGCTCGGGCTGGCTTGATTCAATGGGCCCAACCTCAAGTGAAAGCGTTTTACCATGAGCTTGCTTTGCTTTAGAGGGGCCCAACTTGTTTGGGTATGGGAGTCCAAACGTAGGCCCCCCCCCACAAATGGTAGGTCTACGTCAGGTTTCCACTTGACTCTCCAACACATCCTTCATCTCGGTTGAATCCCTTTTCCTCTGGTTGACTGGATAACTCTAGTACGTAGTTTTAGCCGATGTAATGCGCAAACAAAGGGGACGCCTTCCCCCCTTTCTTGCTGGACGTCAGGGACTTCTCAAAACATGTTCACAAACCAAAAACAAGTGAGTTCCCGTCTTTCAGCAGAGGGAAAGCCGACAAGGTCTGTGGAAGCCCCTTGTTGCTGGTTCGGGCATACCGGGTTTTCCGTGCCTTGGCCGTCCATCAGCGTGTTGTCCGCTGGGCAGTGCGCCACGGAGGGGAGGCCCTGGGCGTCTGACCCTCCCGAAGGGCAGATAGAACATCTAGGTCCTCCAGTAGAGAGGTTAGAATAAGGGCACCCTTTTTGTGGTAGTCTATTTTAGTAGGAAAACCCTCCCCCAAAGAAGGGTAAAAGGGCACTACTGGGACTTAGACATGGTCTTCCATTTCAGGTCCCATTTTGGGTGATTCACTTTTGGGCGTCTGGGACGTGGGGGGCGAGGCTCCAGCCATGTGGACCCTTTTTGGGACTTGCGCCGAAGAAATTGAAAACCAAACGTCAATGGGTTCCAGTAGCTAAGGTGAAGAATCAAACAGGCTCAAGGTCAGGAGAAGTCTCCAGAGATATCCCGGAGCCAGACCCAGACCTTGGTTTGGTTGGGAAACTGGCCAGAATTACAGACATGAAGTGAAAGCAAGGTCCCCCCCCCGGAACGAGTCGTTTTGAGCCTCTGTTTGAATGGCTAGACTTTCTTTGGGGTACCAGCTGTGCTGAAGAACGCTTACATCACTTAAATCAGGTTGCTGAATGTTTTGGTCAGGTGGCCCACAACTAAGGTCCCCTCTTTACCAGCATGGTAAGGTTTGCACAGGGATTTCACGTATCCCCTCAAACAGGCAGTAGGACCACCTCCTCAAACGACCAACACTTGGCCCACTGACAGAAACTCATTGCAAAAGGAAAAAACACAAACATCTTTCCAGTAGTTCTAGATTCCCCCCCCCAAAAAAAAAAACGCCAACTTAAGGGAGTTCTCAAAAAGAAAACCGGAAGGGGTTCCGTTCCAAGGGGCAACCTGGAGGTTGCCAAACCGTTTGGACGGTGTCCCGGTGCTAATCGGTTTCGGGGCTTCGGGAAACCTTCGGCGCCTGGAAGGGGAAGCGGCACCGGGTTTCGCAGCTGGCCCCCGGCGCCAGCTGCGCCGGGCATTCCGGGCTCTCCAGGCGGCAGGAGGATCTCAGGCACTCGGCACTCGTGCGGTAGGTCGCTCGGGCGAGACGGAGGTGGGTCCAACCGTTTGTTGACCCCGGCTTTTTTGGGAAACCTTGTTTCTCTTTTGTATCCTTTTTGGGAAGGTCAACTGTTTGTTTCCCCCCTCTTGTTTGGGGACTGTTATTTTGGTTTGGTCCATTTTCAGAGGGGGATCTGGGCTTTTAAAACTGCGTTTGACCCGCCAAATTTGCATGAGCTCCTCACGAGGAACCCAACAAATGGATTTCCCACCCCAACAAGGATACACAAGCGTATGGGTGAGAGGTTTTGAAGGAACCCCAAAAGGGAGGGTAAGGGAAACCAACAGAACCATATGAGGAAGGCTCTCGTGAGCCACGCTCGTGAACTTCTGAACCTGTAGGGACATCTTCCAAGTCAACCATATTGGACCATAGTCTGCCGTTTGCCTCTTGGTTAAACAACACAAATTCAAGCAAGCAGACGTTGTGTCAAAAACCATCACTTTGACAACCCGACCCCTGCAAGTAAGCCAACATACACGAACTGACATATTTGACATTTAAGCGTCAGGCCATGTATGGTAGATCGATATGCAGAACCTGCAGTCTCGGAAGTATGTCAACCTATGGACCCCTTGAAAGGATTGGCGTTATACCAGGTTTCCTTGACAGGTTTCAAAAAGGAGTGCCCCCGTCCTCTCGGAGACTCCTAAGGTCCCATGCACTTCCATGGTGGCCGTTTGTCTTTGACCCATGGCACTTGCTTTCGACATATGTTGCAAGGCCGATGTAGACTTCATTACCCTTTCGGCTTGGACGGTTTTTAGTGCTCAAAGCCCATTGTTTGAGTGATGGTTCAGTTGACCACCTGCCTGTTGCAATTATTTGCTTCATTGAGCACGCACGATCCTCAGTGGTTGGAATCTGCGAAAACAGTTTAGCTGCTGAGTGGTCTCCGGGAAAAAAACCGGGTCGGTCGACAAAAAGGGGGGCACACTCCGCGGCATTTCGGGAACCAAAAGAGGGGCCGCAGTCTTTCTTGGCTCCAGCCGCCAACCAACGAGCTTACCTTGTCCATCGCAGTCTGAGGGCCTTTCGAAAGCCTCTGTGGAGTGATCTTGTTCCATGTCTCCGGCTGTGCAGCGCATCGCTTTCACAAATCCATCATGGCCCCCCCAACCACTCGGGTTGGGAACAAAAGCAAACGTAAGGAGGCGACAGGGATCATGGGTTATGATTCCGGGTTTGTTTGGGTTTCGGGTTTGAGCTTCCGGCCAACAGACCAAAAGAACCATCAGTTGCCACTGTTTTCTTGATCCGTTTCCGGCTCATTCTCCCGAAACTGCCTGGAAAGCCTTCCCGACATCCCAGACCTGCAGCACCTCCGGTCACAACAAAACAAGTTGACCCACCGCTGTTTTGCTAAAAGCACAGAATCCTTCAAGATGATATGCTGTTCATTCGGAGTAGATGAGCATGAGCATAGAAGACTCGAGAGAACGCTTCGACCCGCTTCGACCGGCGGACTTAGGCGGGCCGCAGGTCCGGCGCTGTACAGGGCTGACGCTTCTTGCACCCGCTGAGGCTGATGTCCAGCTCAACCTGAGTGTTCCAAAGATTGGAGGATAGACTGTATGGCCAGAGAATGTGATTAGCCATACACCTGGCTTTTGCATAGGAGTCGTAAGAGTGCCTTTCTCGCCACGTCCGGGGAAAAAACGACAAAAACTTCATACTCTTGCAGATCCAGCATATTCTCCAAGGGGACCCCCTGCAAATGCTTGATTCCTTGTTGTTTTCCTTACACCATTTAAAACGGGTGTGGCTATTGCCGCCTGCAGAACAGCCTAACGTTTTTGGCTGGTTGCAGTTGATGGAGAAACGCAACTGTTCCCAGAAAGCTACAGGAAAGAAGAGATCCGCTTTGACACCACTGGCCCTCGCTGGAGTTCGGCAGGCGCTGTCTTCAGATCCAGGAGCCGCGTTGGCACAGTTCCCTTCCTCATCCAGCTGTGGGAAGTCAGTCTCGTTGCAGCTGGGCGTGGCATTGCAAAACTTCAGCGGCTCACCTGCGGCATGGGATCGACTACATGCCAAAAGTGCCAAAAGCGGCTACCGGCAGGCCGGTTGGAACATGACTTTCAATGGAGATTGCCCGGCAGGATTTGCGCTTGTGCTCCTCCGATAAACACAATCGAACTGGTTTCCTTCACCGGAAAAATGACAATGGTAGCTCTGCTACCCCCTTTGCAAAACAAATGCAGTTGCCCGGGGATCCTAGTAGGGAAAAGGAACCCTTGCTGATCATTTGAACTGGGGAACCCGCCACAGAACCCGGCACGGGTCCCGTATGGTTGTTTCAATCCCCGCCGCCTGAACCTTGGCCTTTTTGGGACGCAGCGCTACAGCGCCCTTCTCGCCGAGGCGCCGGTATAGTCCGGCTGACACTGCCAGCCCGCGTCGCTCAGGCGGTAGCCCGGCGGCCAAGTTTCAGGGTCTGGGCAGCGCAGCTCGCAGAAGGGCGGCAAGCTCAGCATCGGCGCCTCCCGTCACGCGCAACGCCCAGCGTCCCCCCAATTGGTTTGGAGTGGCTTGGAAAATTTGCACCCGATATCAAATTGGTTTGGACTGAGAAGTCTTGTGGGCGTATTTGGAAACCCCTCCTTCACCACCAAACCATCAATCCAAACCACGAAACAGACGGAAGCAAAGCAAAGGGCGCAACAAGTTTTTAGTTTTAAAGTTTTCTTTTTTTTGTTTTAATAATTTTTATGGTTCACATGCAATCTGTGAAATTATGTTGGTGGGGAAAAATGTCAAGGGACTGCCTGAGAACCTCAGGGTATCTTGACACCATATGGTGTTCCGGAATGGGACTGTACATGAGCCACTGTCAAAATTGTGTTCGCCAAATGGACATGGGGAAAGGAATTGCATTTTACCCAATTCGTCCTTTTTCCAGCAAAATGTCGCCAGCTTCACCAAGAAAGGGCCTAACTTGTGATGTGGGCTCAGACATCTTCCCATTGAAGTGCTGACCCCTATCAACAAGTAAACCAGCCATTTAAGCCAGGCAGGCGATTTCCTGTAAGAACATGCGGTGTTTGTCCTGGCTGATTGTGCATTCCACACATCCACCGCTCGAGACGCACGTGCCTGAAAGCGGTCAGTGTTGCCGGGTGGGCAGGTTGCCACCACCATGTCACCCACAAAGGGCCTGCGGCCATGCAGCCAGGCTCCTTCTTTATAAAAAGTGACATGCGCCTGAAGTTAGCTCAAGAGTTGCGCAAAAATCACATCTTGACTAAGGAAGGTGACATCTTGCACTGCTTGTAGAAATGACTAAGGAAGGTGAGACGTTCTCCTTGAAAAGCAAGAATCAGCAACCCTTGGGGGAGGGCCCAATACTTGTTTTTAGTTCCCAATCCCTTTCTCCATTTGCAAAGAAGCCCGTGGGAAACCCTGCGGAAGAAACACGTTCCCCGCGGTTGTACTTTTCACCAGCCTCAAAATGACTAAAATCCATCGACCCCGACACATGAACAACCCACAGCTTTCTGCTCACGGGACACAAGCCTGTCCCAACATGGCAATACTTTCGTTCAGGCGTCCAAATCTCGCTTACGGTTTCGATCGCAACCCAAAATGCCCCAAATTGCATACCACCCAAACCCCGAATTTTTCCAAAAAACCCAAGAATTCCCGAATCCCAAAACGCCATCCAATGAACCCCACGAATCCGCGCTTCCGCGCATCCTGGCCTGCGGCAACCCACGAGGCACGCCTCCCCGGGCTGCAGCGCGCTGCACTGCGACACGTCGATCTCGAAGCCCTCCCCGGCGGTGAGTTCTCGCCACCCCGTGGCGGGCGGCGGCGCGGGCAGCCGCACCTGCGAGTCGAACGGGGAACTGGCGAGACGCCCATGGGGAAGTCGAAGGAATGGGAGACCTGAAGCTAAGTCCTCCACCCTCGCTCCCAAAGACCCAACGAAAGGTTGGCTCTTGTATGAGGCATTTCGGCTCATGTAACTTGGTGACTGGGCACTGGGATTTTCCCATGAAACTTGTCTCAGATTGTGTCTGGTTCACTGGCATTGGCATAGCATGACCTTTTCCCCTGGCCATACTTTGCACATAGTTTGTGTCCGCTTTGCTTGCAGCATTAGCGGAATCATGTATATCTTCATCGAACAACGCATGCAAAGTACTGTCCGCGGTCGCTTCTATGTCGCTTCTATGGCAAGGCCACAGAACCCGCAATCTTCCAGGCTGGTGCTCCCACTGGTCTGTCTGTGTCTCAAGCAGTGCGTAGGGAAGCTGTGAGCAACAGCCTGGCTGAGATTTTGCGGGTCCCAGAGACGAAAACATGGGACTTTGGGCAACTTATGAGGCGCAAGTGCCATTCTTCTTGAAAGGCAGTCAGTCAGCTTGTTGGCAGCAGCAATTTATTCTTCGCATGCATCGAATGTTTATTCACCAGTAAACCAGGCTGTCTACACAGGCAGACCAAACTTTAAAGGCAGGGCTTGAACCCGTAAGATGTGTTTGTCTCTCGACAGGCCATTGCTATCTCAGGCAAAAAATACACAGGTCCATAGTTTATGAACCGCAAAAACATACACATAAACACTCTTGAATTTGAAAGAGATCTCAGGCACACACGACTTAGTGCCATCATTGCCACGCCTGGCCCCATTTCAACGGGCTTCATCCAGAAACCAAACAAAAACACATCGAAGACCCTTTCCTTTGAGAGTCTTTTGTAAAATATGTTGCAAAGAAGCTGCACATTTTATGGGAATACCCCCATCCTTCAGGCTTCTTGAAACATGTGCACTTGCAACTTGCAACAACCAGATGCCACAGGAACCTGAGTTGATTTGTCCCAAACAGGCAAACCCCCCAAATGGCAAGTCTTGCCTTTGGTTTTTCTTGAAAACAACACCAACAAAAAGGAACCATCATAACATGACACACCCAAATGCGCAGCATGATTGAAGCTTCCAGGAGGGAGGGTGTCAAAGAGGCAAGAGGAATCCCTCACAGCCTTCCAAAAACAGCATCCAAAGAAGGACGTGACTCTCCCATGTGTTTTCAAAAAACAAAACAAGACAAAAGCACAAGACCAACGGCATCCAAAGAAAGACACACCTTGCCACCCCCCCCCCCCCCGCCCGTCTGAAAAATCAAAAAAAAAACGTGTTTTTTTGGCCTGAAAGTCCAGGGTAGCGCGCAGCGGCACACAGGGCTCCAGGCGGCTGCATCCGGACATGCGCAGCCTCGTGACTTCAGGTTGGATTCATGGAAACCAAATCCACTTTTTTGATTTTGCCGAAGCTGTTTGTTTTCTTCTTTTTTCCGAAAGAGATGTGCAATCGTTATTTGATTGGTTTCAGTTGGTTGGCAATCTGTCTTGCACAGAGGCTGCATGAGTTGGTTTTGGGAGTCGGGGAGCTACTCTCTTTGGATTTCAAAGGGAAACCATTCAATCAAAAAGGCCTACCCTGTCAATCCTCCAAATCTCTGCCTGTGATTCGATGATTTATCACCAGCGGGAATACCTTGGGATCCCACCCCATAAGCTCCAGAACCTCCAGGAGACTATCTGTCAGGAATGCCAGCACCCATTTCATTCTAGGCAACGCCCTGAAAATGGAGGTCCTCTTGGTTTCACGTCACCAAGAACTCAAAAGACAGACCAACAAAATGGATCCCCAAGAGTAGAGAAACACAGTGAGCTCGTTTTCTCCCAGAGCTTGAACACACCGGAGTGCCTGAGAACGCACGCAGACAAGTCAAAGCCTTTGGGAATGAAACTGCGCTCAGCGAGATGAAACTGCAAACCAAATCAACATCCAGAACCAAATGAAAAGCCGATACCTTGGCCCAAAAAAAACAGTCTGACACCAAACACGAAAACCCATAGCAAATGCAAACCGACTCAAGCTCCGTGAAACACCGCGCGAACCAAATAAAGGCAATCCATGCAAACTGCATGAAACGTGCAAACCAAATGACAACCTATGCACATGAAATCAATCTTCAACCCATCTGGCCTTGCCACTGCACAGCGAGCTCCCTGAGCTGGCTGTCCGATGCACATCTTGCTTGCTGCTCATGCGCGCAACCCCACTGAAACGTTGTGTGGCGGCGGCACCCATTTTGAAAGGTAGCACAGTTCGGGGCTACCAAACAAGGGGCGCTGTTCATCTTGGTCAAGTAGGGATCCAACTGAAAAACGACAAACAGTGTGCCACCGCCGTGAGACACTCACGCAAAACAACAACATAATTTCGACCCTGTAACGCCGGGGCAGCACATAGGAGGGTGCCCAAGCGTTTAGGACAAGCTAGTTCAATCCACAGAGATGCGCCCTCAGCGGGCCCTCTATGAAGGCGAAGACCTTTCGCCACGGGTTTGGAAAATAAGACCCGCCCGATCCCTGCACAGCCGCAATCTCGAGTGCCTTAAAGAGCTGCGACTTCGTCTGAGCAAGCTTCTCTGGGCAAGTTCTTTATTTGGGCCGGTGCAAGAGAACACAGCGGAAGAGCTCACGCTTTTGGGAAGAAGACAACGAGAAAGAAGAAGAAGAAGAAGAAGAATCAGAAGAAGACAATGATAAAACCAAGGAACCAGAACACTAGCACGACAAGAAAACAACAAACATCAATAGTGATAACAAGAAACATCGCGAGCAAAAACATGATACCAAGAAGAGCAATACACATAACCAGCAAACGGACACACACAAGAACCATAACAAGCACATAAACGAGACAGAGAAGACCTAGACATAGACACACCAACGAGCAAACTCACAGCAACAAGAGCAAGCAAACTAACAAGACCAAGCGGAAAATAACGCGACAAAAAGCAGCACGGCGAAGCAAAAAACAAGACTAACAAGCAACATAGCGAGACTAATAAGAACGACACGCAGGACAAGCAATATACCAAGAGCAAGAAGAACAAACAGAGCATGACAAAGAACACAAAAAAGAACAAGCACAAACACGCGAGCAAGACTACTAAAATCAGGCTCACACAAAGAACAGTAATAACAACAATGCAAAACCAGAAATGCAAACAAACGCAACCAATGATACGAAGAAACACACAAGCAACATAACACGAAAAAGAAGAAACATAATAACAAGCAAAATAACAAAACCAAGAATAAAACAACAAAGAACAAGCCAATGACCAATAAAACGAAGGACAAGGACAACACACGCACCCGAACACAACTAGAAGAACGATCAAAGGAATGAAAAAAACAGCAACACCACCTCAGAAGCACAACAACAAGGCCAAGCGCAACAACAAAGAGGCACAAGCGACAGAACCACGAACAAACATGCAATACAAATAACAGGTAAATAACAAGAACAAATACCAACAACAATAATACCGGCAAAGTACTGTGAGCAAAATAAACAAACAGGAACACACACAATCACAACAACAAAACCAAGAAGAACAACAACAAGAACAAAAGACAACAAGACCGCAAAGAACAAGCACAATGACAAAACCAAGAAGGTCGAACAAATATAAGGACAATAACAAGGACTGATGCCAGGAATAACAAGAACACAAAGCATCAGTTCTCAACAAGGAACAGCACAATCAAACTAACAAGACCAACAAGAACAACAAAGCAGAATGAACAAACAAAACAAACCAGACATAACACTAGACTACGCTTAATGGGCAATGTGACGATGCCAAGAAGAACAATGGAACAACAAGAAAAAACAATAAAGACCACCCACAGGAACAATACCAAGAAGGACAAGCACAACGCAAAACCAAAGGACACAAACAAGACGAACAAGGAAAGGACAAGCACGAGAAGCACAACAATAATAACAGTAAAAATAACACGCAAACAAACTCGACCAACAATAAAAGGAAACGATCAAGCAACAGAACAATACCAGGAAGAACACGAGAAAGAAACACAGAAAACAACACAACCAGGAATAACAGGAAGAAGCCACACAATATCAAAACCAACAATAGCAACTAACGCAACACATGCAAACAATCAATACCAGGAAGAACAATAACAATAACGAACAGAAAAACACGACCCAAAAGATCAAGAAACAGCGCGCACACACACACACACGCACACACGCACACACGCACACACGCGCACACACACACCCCCACACACGCACACGCACGCACACACACACACACACTAGCCAGACCAAGAACAAGCAAAGGCACAAGACCAAGAAAGCAAGCAAACAAAGGAACAAGACCAAGAAAACAAGCAAACAAATCGATCAACAATACCAAGAACAATCACACGCACAAGACACAATTCAAGAATAACAATGACCATAACAAGCAAATGCACACAAAAAAAGGAACACGCAAAGGAACAAGACCAAGGCATAACCACGTATGCAGCAGGTCAGCTTGCAGCCGTGACACTCCGGCAGGTGGCAGGAGCTCGCAGAAGACCTGCGAAGTGCAAGAATTTGCTATATGCCCACAGGATGGTGTACTGTGAAAATGCAGGTTGTTTCCTCCGATGCTGGATGATTTGCTCTTCGTTGATGCATCCTCTGCAAGTTCAGAAGCCGGCTTGCAGAAACAACATGAGACGCGGATGGGGAAGGATGCACTTCAGAACTGTGATGGTCTTTTGCGAGCATCCTTGTCCTTCTCCGAGACGCAACTTGACTGTCTCTCAATTCCGCATCACTCAATGCCTAGCCTCTGGGTGTGCATCTGTCGCGATGTCACTTAGTGACAATGCCTTCAACAATCATCTATTTCAGAAGCAACAATGGGATGAGTCGAATCAGTTGTTTTACGTTTGCTTTGCCGAAACCTGTCAGTTGGACCAAATCCATTTGGAGACTCGCTTTGACCCGCCTGCGCAACGCCAGCGTACCCGGGGTTGCAAATCCACCCGCTGCTGTCTTGGCTGTCACCTGATCCGCGGATCAAGAGCATGGTTTGCGCAAGCAAGGCTTACGGTGGAGTGCTGATTTTAAGCACTAGGCGTGGTTCCCTCGCTGATTGGTTGGTTGGTTGGTTGGTTGGTTGGTTGGTTGGTTGGTTGGTTGGTTGGTTGGTTGGTTGGTTGGTTGGTTGGTTGGTTGGTTGGTTGTTTGGTTGGTTGATTGGCTGCAGCTAATTCCCCTTGGACAACAAAACAAACACACAGTGGATGCTTCTATAGGAACACTCTTCCCAAAAGGGGTCGCTGCACCAGCCCATGTGGTTGGTAGAATTTTGATGGACAACTTATCTGAAGGCTGCGCCACACTTCACCACTTGTCCGCATTGGCAAGAATATGCTCAAAGCGCTGTCATCCCACAAAAAATCACTGGGCTGAACCTTTCTCCTTTGGATATTCCTGGACATCGAGATCTCAACATGGGTGTACGGTTATATATGCCTTTGTTTGCCTGTCAACCCAAACCGGGTCCCGTTTTATGAAAGGCATCACTCAAATGCCGCCTTCAGGATTTCGGCCATAGGCCGGCTCCTCCTGCAATGTCGGCTCGGGGCAGAAGAGGCCTGCGCCGCAGAAGGTACACCGCCAATGCTTGCTGAAATGGGGCACCGGATTTGGGCTGTATGCGTATTGAAGGGAGGAAGCCGTGTAATGGAGGAACTTGATTAATAAACCCGCACCCCCCAAGGTCGACAAGGTTTGGGAAAATCAGATTTTGGGGGTTCCCCTGGGGCCTCCCCCTAATAATTGATCTGCAGGACTTGAGGCTTGATTGAGGTTTGGAGGCTTGAGGTTTCTGATCAGCTGCCAGGCTCTCCGGTCCTTTTGTGGACCCCTGTTTGGCCAATAGGACTGCAATAGGAAATTGCATTCTCTTATTTTCCAGGGCTGGAGAGGGACTTGATTAATCAGAGGGGGTTTTGTGTTATTCGGGGGGGTGCTAGCCTTGAAGGGGGGTACCTTTGCGAGCTTGTCAAACCTTGTTTTCTTAAACAACATGTAATAATAAATTTGCTGTTTCAGGCTAGCCATGTTTTTTGATTTCTGGAATGGCAACCCTTGAGACTATGAAAGGAGTTGGTCTTGGCAAAAGTATTGGCAATAGCTTTGGCAATTTAAAATGTACTTGCTTGTTTGTTTTTTCCAGAATTTTGGGCCGGACAGGGACGTCTTTAATCAGGGGGGGTTTTTGGAGGTGCCCACAAAAAATAAGGGGTGTTTTTTGGCCAAACCTTGTGGGTGCCTTTAAAGTATTGCCTGGAAATGGTCTGGGGAAACCGGACGTCTTTAATCAGGGCGGGTTTATTAATCATGTTCCACCATTAATTAGCGTCATCGCCTCGAGTTCTATCATTATCCGGTGGTTCACTGGCAAGGTGGGCAAACGCAACACCTGTTGGGAACACACATGCGACAATCCTACCAGGCTTGGATCTTCCTTGAAGGTCGCCCTGATTCGTCAACAAACTGTCTGCTTGCTTGTTTGAGGCTGCTGACTTTGCAGGCGCAAATCTTAGTCCAGCCCATAATCGCAAATACTGCCTAGAGCCAGTTGTAAGAGCTGCATGTCTGATTTGTGAAGTCAACTTCCTTCAACTTCCTTTCCGGCTGTTCTGCTACGCCATAGTTTCACTTCAACGACAAGCTGCAAAAATTCGATTGCCTGAGAGCACGACTTAAGAACTGGAAAGCCAAATGGCTAAAAGGCCCACGAGGCAGCACAAAACACAGCTGCAAAACAAATGGAGCAATAACAGGTACTGCGGAGAGCAGTGCGTTGCAAGCTCTTCGCAATGGGAAGGAGCCAAACTTGTATCTCAGTTGTTTCTTGGTAATGACCCACTTTGGAGAGTCGGATGAATAGCTGGCTCCTCCCATTTGCTTGTTTGCCGGCGAAAGGTGGATGCAGATATGAAGCTGCTTTATCTATATCGTTCATCATTCCCAAGGAGGCTTGATATAAACAGCACCGCAGCATTTTCACTCCAAGCGATGCGATACGAATCTGATAACCCACCTTTTCTTGTGGGATTTGCGTTGGTATCCACAGCATGAATTTCCTCATGCTGTGGCCCAGTCAATTCGCCGATTTCCTCGGCACATCGGGTTTACCCCCGATAAGCTCTGGATGCCCTGCATCAAGCAGAATGCATCTCCCACCACAGAGCTACCTGACTGACTGGGGGCCTGGTCCCCCAGGCATTCCCCAAGCGCGGCGCGCTCTTCAAAGATCACGGACGTCCCAACGAGGGGGGCCGGTGAACTAGGGCGGGATAGGGTGGGGTTAAAAATTTGGATCATACTTGAGCCAAAAGGCCCCGCATGATCCAATACACTCCTTGCAGAATGGTGCCTGTAAACCCAAGCCTTCCAACCTGATACAGGATTACATTCTTAAGGAGGTTTGATATAAACAGCACCGCAGCATTTTCACTCCAAGCGATGCGACACGAATCTGATAACCCACCTTTTCCTGTGGGATTTGCGTTGGTATCCACAGCATGAATTTCCTCATGCTGTGGCCCAGTCAATTCGCCGATTTCCTCGGCACATCGGGTTTACCCCCGATAAGCTCTGGATGCCCTGCATCAAGCAGAATGCATCTCCCAAGGCACTTACTTTCACAACCTCTCCCAATGCACTCACAGGAACTCAGCGAAGGTAATCACTGCGCGGTACGGAAGACTCAGTAGAGCTGGAGGGAAAAGACTGAAACTCAGCTTGAAGTGGTTGGCCCTGTACCATGGGTCACTGGGTCCTAATCGGCTGATTGCGTCGGCCCAATTGGATTTGGATGGAATGTATTCCCAGTAAAGGGAGGCTCGCAACGCAAAGAGCAAACACTGAATATAAGTCGCCATCTTGGCCAAGTCGGGGTTGTCACTCCTGCCCCTGATCAAACACATAAGACTGGCGATGTTGTCGATGAACCACACTCCGCGTCTCCCGCAGAATTGGTCGGGTCTCGCCGTGAGGGCGTGCACCACCATGAATAGCTCCAACTGGGCTATTTATGCCTGGTCCCCACATGTCATAGACCTGCGAGGGGGTGATGGCCACAAAGGCTTCCCGGATCTGCACGCCACCGTCCTGGAAGACCAAGTGGTATCCGCCGGACCCTTGACGAGGGGCCTCCAAAGCCGCGTCCGAGGCAGCCACCACCCTCGGCACGTCCATGGGTAGGACCATCAATTCCCTCCTCGGGCGCATACTGATGATGGCCTCTAACACATCAAAAGCCGACAGGAGGCTGGCGCCGGCTCTGCTGGAGCCCCCGTACTGGTGCTCCTTCAACGCCTGGATCTCGCCCAAACCGATGCGCCCAAAGAGGCCATGCTCCAGGAAGTTGACCATACCGTAGAGTTTTGCGGCTTGACCCGGGGTGAACTTCCCGCTCTTCCTGGCGTCACGCATGAAGGTGAGCACCTTCTGCTCGAGTCGCTCTCGAACCCAAAAACGCGCACGCCCATGCGTGTGGATCTCCGAGAGGTCGAAGTCAAGACCCAAGAAGGTACCCACTTCCGCGGTCCTCAGCGAACGGGGTGCCCAGCAGGTCATTGAGGACGCCAAAGCTCCACTGGGCTGATGGGCCGTGGACTGCGCGGTCGGTGATGTGACTGTCATCGAAATACATGGACACCATGATTGCCAGAAAGCGCCTACCCATAGCTTCCGCCATCCAAGAGTAGCGGTTGAAGGAGGTGACCGCCAACGGAAGGCCGAACAAGAGGGCGTGGTACACCTGGAAGGCGGGCCCCTGCCATTCCTGGTGGTACCAGACTACCACACAGGCCAAGGCCTCCTGTCGCGACATAGGACAGTGGCGGTAGGCATTCGGCCAATCGTCCCCGGCCCCCGTCCACTGCCCCTGCTGCGCGAACCGCTCCCAGGTGCACTCCTGAAGGCAGGCTGCAGCAGCTTGAACGCGGAGCGCCGGGCGGAGCGGCGTGCGCAAAACTAGTTTGTTGGCATCTCTTGACGATGCGGATTGCCCGCCCCGTGCTGCGTTGTCTATTAGACGTTGCTTGCCGGACGCCTGTGTGATGACACAGCGAGGTATGAGCCGGTAGGGGTCTCCTTTGGCATACCGCTTGAGCTGGCTCAGGTTCATCGGGGGGGTGCAGAACCCCTCCTTGTGATCCTTAGTGGACTGCTCGAGGACGAAGGAGTCTGTGGAACCCGGCCGCACGCCCGCGATGGCGGCGGCGTTGTGCTCCTCCCAACCAGCCAGCACCTCCGAATGGGCGCTGGTGGGGGAAGACTCCGTAATGAGGGGCATAGCCCACCGCGGGAAGGCCCTTGATGAAACCGTGAGGGAGGGCGAAGTCGCCCTGCATAAGGACGACGAAGAGTCCCAGCAAACCCAGATCGCGCTTCGAGGTAACTCCTCGGATGGCCTCGGACTGGAAGGTCACGAGGTGCCTGGACACCGGCGCCCACCTGCGCTTCAGCTCCTTGATGGCCCCGATGGACGCCCGACGGCGTTCCTCCAGGTTGTGATTGTCCATCACCATGCTGGCTGCGTACCACAGGTCGTCATCCAACGTGGGAAGGACTTCCAACGGGTTGCCGTGGTGGTCCACTGCAGGGATGCGGCAGAGGCGGAATGGAGGCCTTGTGGTTGTAGGCCCCATGCTGCTTGCCCTCCGCCAGCCGCTGACGCCTCCGACTAGCGTTGGACGAGGAGGGTGGTCCCAAAGGCCCGTCCCACTCCCGCGGCTCTGGCGCCAGTCCAAGCAGCAAGTAAAGGGTTCCTGGTTCAACAGGTCCTCCAACATGGGCCACTGGAAAGATTGGAACCACTCGGCCGGGTAGAGCTTGCGAAAGGCCAAAATTACATCCTCCTGAGAAAAAACAAGAGTGACATCGACTGCACAGCGTCACCGCCGCAGATCGATCCCATGATGGCCGCTGCCCTGAGCACAGAGCCCCGGGCTTGCCTATGCCGCCGCCCAGTGACTCTGGGTAGGCTAGCCTCGGCATCCGGATGGGTCGCATCAAAGACCATCCCAGCCAGCGCGTCTGCCTCGCAGACACCGTCCTGGCCGCAATCACATGCCAGCCGCTTGCCCTGCAGCGAAGGCAGCTCCGCCTGCAAATTGGCGAGGACAAAGTCCACGTAGAGCGGCAGCCAGTCGTCCGTCGTACAGGTGTGCCCCTGCACGAACGGTGATGCCCACTGTGATGGGACCCGGTGGGAGTGGTGGCCCTGCCCCACGTAAACCACGTCCGGCGGCAGCTTGCCATCTGCGAGTACGTCAGCCACTCGTACCACCGTAGGCAGCCGCGCCCGCTCCTCGGGATGCAGTGGTGGCAACCCGAGTGTGATGGCCAGCGGAGTCATTGCCCAGCTGCGCATAGCTCTGGGATCGATATCCAGCCAGTGCTGCCTGCGGCACACGCCTCCAGCGGCGGCATCCGTGGCACGTGGAGTCGGGCATGGGGGCCGCCCACCAACTGACCGAGACCGCAATTGCGAAGGCCAGGGTGGCCGAATATTCCGCTTCTTCCTTAGACGGGAACTGGTGCCTCCCCTGGGTGTTCTCCCAAGGATCCCACTCCCATGCTGCATGCTGATGGTGGCATTCGCGAGGGTGAATCAGCTCGATCTCCTGGATGTTGTGCCGCAGCCACTGGTGTTTGCAACGCGCTGACATGAAGACGCATGCCGAATACGTCGTGTCATACCAGCGACCGGACTCCATCATGGTCTCCTCCTGAGGGAGGGACCAATGGAGGCTTCGAGCCGGATTCTCCCACAGGGCCCCTCTGCCATCGAATCCAGGAACATGCCGCATTGTCCACGTCCCGCCTTTGGTTCTTGGGGTCAAGCCCGGGCAGACCTTCTGGGTGTACTTCAGAACGCAGCGGCTTGGGACCTGGGCAGCCGTCCGCAAAGGTTCTATGGATCTCTCAGGCCCTGGATTTCGTGGAGCAATCTAGAGCTGCGGCTGTGAAGGCTGCTGACCGCATCGGTGCCTCCAGTGCTTGTTGCCTCAACGGGTTAGACAGGTCGTGCCCCGAGACCCATGAGGTCGACCATCAGCGGGCCGTCTTCCTGAAATCCGGTGTGGGGGTGCGAGAGTTCTGACCCTATGGGGGAGTCCCCCTCCCCCCCAGGGCACCCTCAAGACTTCTTAGCCCCCCCCGACTCCTTGGCTCCGTGGTTCTGCATCCCGCAGACTCGGTCGCCCCTCAGCATCGCAGCGCACCTGTGCTGGCCGTTGGGGCACGACTGCCCCGCCTTGCATTGCCCGTCCTGGAAAGCTTGGCATAGCACGGCGCCATCTCTCATGGCGCGTGCGACCGCTCTCCCCACGATCGGCTTCGCCAACGGGGGTTTGCCCCCCCATGCTGCCGGCTTGGCAGGTGACCCCTTGCTGGCGCTCCTTGGTAGGCGCCGAGAAATT